TCAAGGAAAAAAAACTGTACTGTGCTTGTGTTGTGCTTGAGCATGAACACATTATGTACGTTAATTAGGAGGTCATTATAACTTAAATAATATATGTATTTATTTCTACTTTTTCTGCAAAAAAAAATTAACAGGATAAGTCGAAGTTTATGAGATTTTTTTTAATACATTTTGCTTGTGGGTTTTTCTTAAGTGACCACAGAAAGAACACCAAGACGCAGAATTCATTCCAGGATCCGATAATTCGTATAGTAAATTACCTCTGGAAACGCACAGAATGAGGTTATAAGAGGTCTCAGGTTGAACTTCACAATGGCAGAGAATGAGCGATGCTAATAAACTGAGATTAGAACTTTCTTAAATGGTTCCTTAGATCACTCCACATGAAGCATACAATAAAGCATTAGAGAGACGCGTCAATACGGTTCAACCGTGACGGCTCCTGCCAGAAATAACTTTTTTTTATTGCTTAGATGTTAAGTGGTTGCTGGAGCCCATAGACATCTACAACGTAAAAGCGTCACCCACCTTGAGATATAAGTTCTAAGGTCTCAGTATAGTTACAACGGCTGCCCCACCCTTCAAACCGAAACGCACCACTGCTTCACGGCAGAAATAGGCAGGGCGGTGGTACCTACCCGTGCGGACTCACAAGAGGTCCTACCACCAGTCAAAACTGACTGGGGGGACACTTGAGGGATCGAACAATTCGCCTCTGGTGTTAGTCGAATGGAACGAGTAACTATTTGGGAGCTCTGACTTATCGATGAGAGTAGAACGCCACGCGAGCTCTGACCTAAGCTTCGTAAAGTAAAAGCCTTTGGTCTGACATGACATGATTAACAGAAAGTTTCACGGTTTAATCCTGTGCTTATTTTTTGGTCACGAACTTTGCAGTTTTCGTGGTCACGTGTAACTGTAGTGAATTCGAAACGTCGGATTATAAAGTAATTAAATAAATACGTGTTCATCCCTATTACCTGGAAACTGTGCGATTGTGCATAGTGCAAGAAATCTCTTTGCCGCATGTGCAGCTCTCGAACAAATTCACGTATCAGTCCGTAGCTGAGCTCCGAGCGCTCTGATGTCTTTCTTCAAACGAAGATTGATAAGCGCCGCTATCTATAAAAGCTGCTTGATTATACACTTGGCATTGCAGATGTCTGGCATAGGCGGCGGTATAAAATCAATTATTCCTATATTATTCCTAGATGCCTATTTCAGTCGTGAAGCAGTAATGTTTTTCGGTTTGAAGGGTGGGGCAGCCGTTGTAACTATACTGAGACCTTCGAACTTATATCTCAAGGTAGGTGGCGGCATTTACGTTGTAGATGTCTATGGACTCCGGTAACCGCTTAACACCAGGTGAACTGTGAGCTCGTCCACAAACCTGAGCAATAAAAAGAAAAAATATGTATTTACCGTAACTTAATACATATAAGAAACAACGAACCAAATAATATCGAGAAGCCAATAAAAACAGCTAATTTTAATTAGAATCTGCGTACATAAATTTGAGATTAAAAACATATTTTCTGCCCATTATAAAATGAAACGTCTTAAAGTACTTGACCGCGTTATACCGGATGCTATGACGCCAATGAAAAAAAAAAGATAATGGAAGAAAAATGGCTGAACTCTAAATATCAGCATTTTTCACGGTACACCGTACAATATGTCAGTACACATCAGGTGAATAACATTATTAAATAAGATAATTAATAGCTTAACGGTAAACTTTAATGAACGCTAATCCGTAAATTCAGGGACAGGCAATATACTATTACAGCCATAATAAATACACTCACTTCCGCATTTTAAACGTTAAAAATGTATGCTTGATTCTCTTCAAGCGATATCGCGATAAATCCATTGTAGACGGAATTCTTGTACTATGTATTTAATTTCGTGATAATGTGTGGTAAAATATTCCATGCGCATTTCTGAACGCACAGAATTCTTCACATTTTAATTGTATAAAATAACTGCGGATGTTTAGATTCATATACTATCGTTGGTCGAAGACTAATAGTCCGTCTTTTACTTAGACCCTCTAGGTGGACAGCGGCGTACCTACATGTTGTAATATCTATGAGATCCAGCAACCGCTAAACCGTTTGCCACTACATACTCTACTCCATTAAAAATCGACTAGTCTCTTATTGTTCTGCTCTTTAAAGGTAGCCGACCGAGAGCCTTTCACCAATGATTCCACTATAAGGCGAAACTACTTTACTGATAAACCAGAGCTATGGTCATTGGTCACTTTTAACGTGTTTTAAATTTAAGCTACTTTATGATCAAGCTCTCCACTGCATTGGCCTGCAAGATCCTGCTATTGCCCGAGATGATTGCCCGGTTGTTCAAAATGTATTATTATTATTCCGAAAACGTTAAAAGGTATGCTCTACCACATGTTCTTCGTCCTAAAGACGTGAGCACCGTAGTTGCCGCCAGATGAAGAAAAACTCAAGGCAACTTTCCCGGACCAGCATTTTAACATTTCGCACACGTTGACGCTGAAAAACTGCACTTTAAAGTATTTTCCTTTAAGGTGGAAATAGGCATTCACCATGGGAAATGGGCATTTTTAATTTATTTGAGTGAAAAACCATATCGAGAAATAAGGCTAGCAGATTATAGAAAAAAAAAAATTGAAAAATTTTTTCATTAAGTACCAATTTTATTAATTAAATATATTTGACTATTTTCTATACTGAAATGACATTATGATTAGCTTTATATACATATACTTTAGCCAATATTTTTATTTAACCAGTGTACAAATATCAGTTTTATTATGATTTTTTCGATAACCACATAACACTTTTTAATTTAAAGTGAGCATGAAGGCAGTCACTGGGTGGGTTAAGTGAGTTAAACACTGTTAAGACTGATAGACCTGTTTATCAATGCGGTGTGTAACAATCGAAAGTGATTTCAGAGATGCTAAACAGTCAATAAACCACCTTTAATCATATCGAAACCCGAAAAAACACTAAAGTAACAAAACAAAACAATTCACATAATTTCCGCATCGCATTCCCGCCAAAAACTCCGAACTGATGAAAGAATTTCTTTAAATTTTGCTGGTTAAAATTTTTAAAGCAACGAATTCTCTTTATGTCACAGATGATATTGTCACCTAGAAAAACCATGACGTTTTTAATTATTATAATATAACTGCCGTGAATATTTCAAAAAAAAAAGATTCATAGATTGGTCTATATTGTTAGATATTGATAGATTGGGTCTAAAGAAATTATAAGTACAGCTTTATTTTTAAATCAAAGCCAATTTATTGTCATAGTTCGGTTTTTCGTCTATGCATTGATAACTACTGGTAGGTGTGTGAGAAACTCAAAAACCTAAATATTGCTAATGATAAATTCAAGAAATCTTGCATTTTTATATAAGTTTTGGAAAACTACATTCAGACTGTCGCCGCGTTGATATGGCAACCAATAATACCCGCTCGTCGGAAGATGTTCCCATTCTTTTAATAGGGGTTAAAGTATGAAATTGCCGTTCTATTGTAATAGGTACTTCGAATTGACAACCTTCAAGGTTTGAGATGATAAAATGATGAGTGAAACTTTTTTTAAATTGTACCTATGAGGTTCTTGTTTTAAAAAATGTGCAATATTCGATTATCGATTTTCAGTTGTTTTTTTTTCTATTCAGCCTAGACAAGAAAGAAACTTCGAAAATTCGAGTGATTTTTGAATACGAGTTCTAGCGGAACTAACGCTGAACTCTTACTGATGGTAGGATCTCTTGTGAGTCCTCACGGGAAGGTACCACCACCCTGCATATTTCTGCCGTGAAGCAGTAATGCGTTTCGGTTTGAAAGGTGGGGCAGCCGTTGTAACTATACTTGAGTCCTTAGAACTTACTCCTAAAAACTAATATCTCTATATAACTATAAGGTGGGTGGCGCATTTACGTTGTAGATGTCTATGGGCTCTAGTAACCACTTAACACCACGAACCACGTGGAAGACTGCCCACACATGTGAAAAACAATGAACACATTGAAAGAGATGGTGAAAGCCGATCCGAGCCAAACTCCCCAGGAATTAGCGACATGGTTTAACCCTACCTTACCAACAACTTTGACTCATTAGCGTCAAATCAGTAAAATAAAAAAAAATAAAAAATGGGTGCCTTCGGATTTGACTGATCTGCAGAAAGAAATGCGTGTTGAAGAAAAGTCGATTCTTTACGAAAGCCATAAGCGAAAAATGCAACGGCTGACCCCAGGTCAAACGCCGCAACTGTCCTAAAGCAAAGCTTACTAATAAAGAGGTATATGGTAATGGTAACTGTTTGGTGGTCTCAGCGTGGTGTTATTCACTATAGCTTTTTCCGATCTGTTCAAGCAATAACGGCAGATGTCTACTGTGCCGAACTCCGAACAATGATAGCAAAACTTGCAGTGAAACAGCCAAGACTCATCAATCGATCTTCACCATTATTGCTCCATGATAACGCGAAACTTCATACAGCACGAGAAACAGTTTTAACTCTACAGGAACTGCAATTAGAAACCATTCGTCACCCTCCGTATTCGCCAGATTTCGTAATTTGGACAATTTTCTACGTGATAAAAAGTTTTCTTCCCAGGAGGCAGTACAAAATGCTTTCACACAGTTTGTAGCATGTAGATCATCAGAGTTCGCAAAAGCATAAATGACCTTCCTATTAGATGGCAGCAATGTATAGATAATAATATCAGATATTTTGATTAAATAAATAAGTTCAAAAAAAACAAGAATTTGAAATTTTCAGTACAAATCGGCAATTTCATACTTTAACACTTTAACCCCTAATATTTAATATAGACACACAACCAAGTTTACTTTTAGTCTTTCTTTCTGACGCTTAAATGCAACATTTACCTACCTTTATGAATGTCATACACAACATTTTAATAGTTTTATTACGGATAAGTGTCTACTAAGCTAAGAAAAATGAATAAAAATTATGGGTTTCAAATAATTCATGGTTTATTTTCAAAACATCTCGATTTAGATTTAAAAAAAAACATAATGACGTGAAAATTGATCGGAAAAAGTAGATATTTTTGTACAATAAAATTGTTAACGATTTTCTAATTATATAATATTAATAATCTATAAAATACTTTTATCTACAAACCAGAACAATCCATTGGTTACAATTGAATTATGTACGAGATTTTTTGATTAGTTTTTTTATTTTTACATTTTTAGTAACATTTAACTCTACTATATAGTATATATTGAAATAAAGAATTTTTTTTTATCAAATCGTAGAACTGTAAATTTGTTATAGCAAAATTTTAATCCAATACAATTGATTAAAAGAGAAATGGTATTACTAAATCTGCAATGAAGTTCGTTACGTATTCATAGCTTTGTCTCAATCAAAACTTCGAAGCAACAATTCAGTGTGTAAATATATTTTTTACTTACTATCGTGAAAAAATAATTAAGCTTAAACAAAAGTAAAAAAAAAAAAGAAATAAAACTAATTAAAAAAATATACCCTGAAGCACACTTCAGAACATGCACTATATCAATAATAATATTAAGATGCAAAAACTATGCTTACAACGATATAAAGAACGATGGAATTATGAATGGCACGTAATATATCGATGCGAACACAATAACGTGAAAGAACATCTCTAACGTACATACTGTCAAGTCGTTTCATTTTAACATACATATAAACACTAATTAATTTTAACCATGTAATTTTATCTTTCACAAATTTAAGTCAATAACATATAAACACAGATGTATTCGGTCGGCGGTAAATTTTTATATTTAACAAAAACCACAGTAATAGCACAACAAAACTATTTTTTTATTGCTTAAAAACCGAAATACGTAAAACTTAAATTAGTTTATTAAAATACAAAAGGAGAAGCACGAGGTTCGAATCCCAAAAGCTTTAAGTGGATTTCATGAATATTAAAAAACAACAAACCGTATTCGTGTATTTTGATTTTGCTTAGACTATTCAATTCCTATACTATGTTGAGGTGCGACAGATAAGGTACAGTGCGAGCAAAAAACAAGCACTGACCGAAAATATTTATATAATTCATCAATATTTATTTAAATTAAGCACTAATGCTCCGCAACTTTAAGTCACATTTAGTTATTCCGTATCAACTAGAAATAAAAGAGAACACGAGCTTTTATATATCACGTGAGCTTATCTTAATAAACATCATTTGCGCTCCGATGTCGCCTCGTCGGTCGTACTTAATGACTTCTGTGAAAAACAAAACGTTAAATTAGTAAATTAAACTTAAGTATTAAATTCTAATCGTGTATTAATTAGCTTTTTTATTTGCCTTTCATGCTTTTTGATTATAAATTGCGTAAAGTCAAACTTACTCGGTTGTTGGGACAAAGATTGAAGTAATTTTGCAACTGTTCTTAATTTTTAAGTCATAGAACATCAGATTTATAAAATTAAAATTGTTTTTACGCTTTATTACATTTCTTATATTGTTTTCGATGTTTTGAATACTTTGCAGTTTTCATGGTCACGGTTGTTTGTGATCTCGTCGACTCTTATATGTATACATGATATCTTTGTTATATGTATACATGTATATATGCCAGCTAGTAATAAACCTAAGAAAATGCTATTTATAAAACGCTTTCAAATTTCCCGCTAAAACGCTTGAAGCTATTATCGTTTAATTAAGCAACAAAAAGTTCTAATTTTATTTTTCTTTCTAATTTCAAAGCTATTATAACCTAAAAAAAACAACGAAACTTTTTGTCAGTTTTCCTATGTACTGATTTACAATATAATAATAATCATTCACCTTATCGTTTCCAGCACTCAACCCAGCCCATTGTACGAACGAAGGCAAGTCGCGTGTGGGTAATTCAGCGGCCAGGGCCTTCACGCGCAAGTTGCGGTCATCCGTCAGCAGCACCACCTCTCGCACGCTACGGTTCGTCTTTGAATCACCGTTTCCTTCCTCTGACTTCGTTTCTGATACATATAAAAACATTGTTACTAGCGTCCTTACATTCTTACTGGTGGTAGGGCCTCTTGTGAGTCCGCGCGGGTAGATGATACCACCGCCCTGCCTATTTCTGCCGTGAAGCAGTAATGCGTGTCGGTCTGAAGGGTAGGGCAGCCGTTGTAACTATACTGAGATCTTAGAACTTATATCTCAAGGTGGGTGGCGCATTTACGTTGTAGATGTCTATGGGCTCCAGTAACCACTTAACACCAAGTGAGCTCTGAGCACGTCCACCCATCAAAGCAATAAAAAATAAAATAAAAAAATCATATTGGTGGTAGAGCATGCTGTACGTGTTGATACCATAGTTTTGCCTAATTTTGACATTTTCCGTTCCGAGTTAAAGGATGCAATGCTCATAGTGGACAGCGGAATTCACGTGGTGATGTCTACGGTATCCGATAGCAGCTTGGAATAGTAAGCTCATTATCTATATATTATTACGTGAAGCAAAAACTTTGAATCCCTTTTTACGAAAATTGGGCGGACGGAGGAGTATGAAATTTCCCACACTTATAGAGAATATAGAGAAGTAGTGCAACAGGTTAATATTTTTTGAAATTGTTCCTTAAAAATACATTAAATAAATAAAAAAGAATCATTACACACTACCATGTCTAATAACACACACACGCGTACATACTATTTGTTTATTGTCAAAATTTTCTTATTGCTTATAGTCTGTGGTCAAATTGAAAATAGATTAAATATTCTTAGTTTTTATTAATAGGTATTTGTCTAAAGTGTAATCTTGGTGTAATCTGTGATTACAGAATTACAATAGTCTTTGACAATAGAATCATAATAGTGTAAAAACTTATAATTTATAATTATTAATATATAATTGTAAAACTTATAGTTATAGTCGAATTTCGACTATTGGGGGAGCACTAATACAAAATAAATATGCAACGTTACATACCGGTGTCTGGGTGTGGTTGGGCGGCCACGAGGTTAGCGTGCAAGTTGAGGGCGGTGGAGAGAACGCGGTCGTCGTTGGTCGCGCGGTCGGCGTCGCGCTCGGCGGTGAAGGCGCGGGACGAGAGCAGCGAGCCGCGCGACGTGGCCAGGCGCACGCCCGCCGCGCCGCCGCCCGCGCACACCCACGCCAGCGCCGCGCCCGCCATGCCGCCCACGCGACCGCACTTCTTCAACCCCTCCAGCTCGCTCATTACTGACGACCACAAATCACGACCTCAATTGAATATGCAATTTCGAAAAGGCACATGTCGCATATTTTGTCAAATACGTTTTTTTCATATACATGTAGTTTTGAGGCTTACCTACACCCACTTTATAATAATTCCAGTAATTTTCAATAGCTAATTAAAACTAAAATATATCTCAAAAGTTAATATTTTAAATTTTACACTGCTTTAGAAAATAATCGAAGAGAGAAAGCCTAAAGAGAGGCCGCCCCAGAACAACTTTGCGTCGCTCGGTGGAGCAGGAGCTAGGGGTCTTGGGCATGATGTGGGAGGAGCTAGAGCAGTCTGCCCAAAACCGATGTAAATGGAAAAATTTGATTCGAGCCCTACACCCCAGCAGAGGGTAACAGGAAAGAATGATGATCATGAGAAAATAATCAGTTTTTTTCATTTCCTGAACATTTTACATTTTCAGAGATGTGCCCTTTTCGAAATTGCATATTCAATTAATTCTAAAATCTAATTAAAAAAACTAATATTAAAAAAAAAGACGTGCCCGCCGAGTTTCTTGCCAGTTCTTCTCAGGACGGGGGCTAGTTTTTGTGAATTGGCGGTAGTTCTTTTTGAAGTTCAACAAGTATGTACTTTCATTTATGTTGAATAAAAACCTTTTGATTTGATTTTGATTTGATTTGAATTATGATATTACGACTCAAAAAATCGACTACACGTTAAATCAATTTACTATTTTTATTTTAATGATTTATTCAACTTCATGCACAGAGGTACAATGGCGGACTTAATGCCTGAGGCATACTCTACCAGTCAACCAAGGATGGTGTAGTCTTGTGGTAGGTGCATTACTTATTGCGAAAATAACAAAATGGATAATATATCTATATATAATCACCATCATATACTCGTATATTCACATACATATATAATCAAATACACTAAATTCAATTCTGTCAAATACTAAAGGACCCGAAAGGTAATAGAAAACAGAGGGCTTGTACTCACCGACCAGAGGCACGGCTAGAGTGTACGGCTGAGACGGCGCAGCGACCACGGCTTGCAACAGTGGTAGATGATCGATGAAACAATTTGTATCCGGGACTAACCAACGGGGCCGCACTTCCACTTCCATACTGGTCGAATCACTACGTAGAATCTCCTGTTAAATTTGTAATAACACTTTGTAATTACTTACTAAATTTCTTTTTTTAAGGGATTTTATGACTTGGTAACTAAGACCATGAAGTCATGTCTTATTTTAATTTTATTCTTATTTTTATGAAAAATGATAATATGGAGTGAAATGAAATGAAGATGATTAGAGACATTAATCAACTGGGATGAAACTAAATGAAAAGAGATGATATTGGATGAAAAATAATATCAATAAAATGGTGGAGATTTTTTCAGTGGACTTTTTGGAGGATCCCGAGAAGTTACGTCCAGCGGCTTTGTTTCATTTTCCCACATTTGTGCACTTTCACAGATATTAAACAGTTAATAAACCACCTTTATTACACATTTAAACTTGAAGAAACACTAAATAGAAAAAATAAAACAAATTACACAACTTCACTCCTCGCGTTCCCGCCAAAAAGTGCACTTACTAAATTAACTTTAGTTAGTGATGCACATACACAAAGTGTTCATTAGCCATTTAATAATAGGTTGGGGAAAAAGTTTCTTCGCATTTTTTAAGAAAATTCACAACATTTTTTAAAATAGTTTATTTACATTTAACTAAATTATGTAGATACCATTTTGTTCGATAACTTTATGCCATCTTGTAGGTGGGGACATGATCCCATTGCTATAGAAGTTTTGGGGCTTCTGATCAAAATACCGCGAAAATTGGTTTTGGCAGTCCTCTCGTGATGTTAACCTGATACAAATAGTATAGCCAAAGAGATTTTATTACAAGTTCGTACATACTATAATGCGAAGACTTTTTCTTCAACCTATCTATACTAATATTATAAAGCTGAAGAGTTTGTTTGTTTGAACGCGGTAATCTCAGGAACTACTCGTCCGATTTGAAAAATTCTTTCAGTGTTAGATAGTTCATTTATTGAGGAACATCACGCTAAGACTAATACAAGTGGAACACCAATAAAGAATGTTTCAAAATCGGATTTATTTTCCCTTTTGAGAGCTTCCGCTGCGTGCGCTGCAATAACGGTTAAAGTTTCGCTAAAATAATGTATGACAGAATTGTTCCCCTTTAAAAGATCTAGAAAAAAGTCCGCGACAGCATGTCTATATGTTAAGGTTGGCTCACTATAACGTTTTTTATGCTAACCAAATCTGTTCTAAAATAAAGCATTATTTGTGAACTATTCCACGCGGACGAAGTCGCAGGCAAAAACTACTTATAAAAATAATATTGCTTGGTGTCATTGTAGAAAAAGACAGCGGTATACCTGTACACGTTGCCGTTGTCGTTCAAGTGTGGCCTTCCTGTTCTCCAGCTGTTCCTTGCGACGGAGCAGACGTCTGGTGGCCTCGTCTGCATCCGGAGCCTCGCTCACGCTGCTCGGACCGCTCCTCGAACTCTCTTCGTCTTCGGAATCTTCGGCCTGTTAACAAAATAGAGCTCCTGTAAATTACCTGTACCCAGGGCCTGATTTAAACTTAATGCCGCTCCTGGGCATCGGAAAAAAATCCGCCCCAATACTGGGAATTTTATTTAAACTTTACTTTCAAAATTAAAATAACTAATTTATTGCAGAAACGTTATTATATGTTATATATTAGAAAAATATAAATAAATATTTGTGTTTTTTCTAACAATTATAAATTTTGCACTAAACGTGACTCATAATTGTATTACATAAAAAAAAATCTCTTTAATTCCAGTAAATAGAAAAATCGATTATTATTTTAAATGTCCAAGGAAATAAATTTATTAAATCATTTTGATTATTAATTTTTACCAAAAGTGTCAAATTTATAATTCACAAATAATGGATGGATTGAATTTGTTTAATTATCAATTAAATAGAAAAGTTATATTAATTAATAGAATTAATTATTTATATAGCAATCCTGATAAGACTAAAAAAAAAATTTTCACTTTAAAAAAATTGCCGCCCTAAAAAATGTGCCGCTCTGGGCACTTGCCCCTACTGCCCCTAGTGTAGTACCACACTGTTTATACCCGGCACACAGACGGTATATGAGTCGCAAAACGTTACTAAAACAATCTTGGCCCATTATGAATTCGGCAAATCGCAAACACGAACCAGAAATTTTACTGTCATTAACACATAAGGAAGTTTAACTTGCCGTAACGTTACTGTGAAATTGTGAACTTTAGCAATGTTGATCCGAGCAAACTTTAGATTAACGGTTTTTGACCGCATTTTACGACATTGATGTGTGTAGAGGCCTAGCACTAAATTAAAAACGAGCCTATTGTTTTTTTTTTTGAAATTTTTTACTGAGATAGTGTAAATGGGATTTTTTTTCCACGACATCGTTGAACAAACTCACAGCCTACCTGGTACTAATACCGTTAAGTTCATACACATCATAAAGTGGATATATAACTTTACAGTTTGAAACATGTGATCAAAGTCTTAACTATGTAGTTATGTATGTAGGCTACTACACCATCCGTCAAATGAATGCTAGCTCACACTGCGCACTAACACTAATAGATTAATATGACCTACCAGTAACTAATCCACAAAACTCTAAGAAAATTGGATATCTGAAAATTACCCCTGGATTGGACCACGTTAAAGACGAACGACACTTAGGCGTGTCTGAATTATTGCTGTGTAATTTTATTGTTCACTAGCTAGCATTTGTTCACTAGATATTTTCACGATGAAGAAAAATCATCGTTTATTAATAATGTTTATTATTACGGTTTTACATAACAATAAAACCGATATTATGTGCCGAGAAGGAAAACATACAGCATTGTATTATGAAGAAGCAGTGTGTACTTAGCTTAGATTCCTTGTCTATGTCCAACCATAGACAGTCAATTTAGTTCCATCTTTAGCCGCTAGGTGCTGCCAGCAAGTATAAAGGGAGCGCAGCCATCTTTGATCTTCATAGTCTTCACCAGGAAGAACTTCCTGCAATGCTGTATGTTTTCCTTCTCGGCACATAATATCGGTTTTATTGTTATGTAAAACCGTAATATTGATGTGCCTTTGGAAAACATACAGCATTGTATTATGAAGACGTGTTTGTTATCTGCTGGTGAAATTATTAAGCACAACGCTATGATGAAATAGNAACCCGGTCTCTGGAGGGGGGTGATGTAGTGTAACTATGTATTATTATTATTACTATATTATAAGTTTGACTTTGTTTATAATAATATTAGATGTAGAATTATTATATTTAAAAATTATGTTGATTTTTAATATTGTCTGTTTTTTGGGACAAACATTCTTTGTATATAGTCAGCAATGACGCACCGTGCGCAAGCGCTACGGGTGGCCCCCGCGCGCGCACTTCACCAGCAGTCCGTAAACTGCCTTGCCGTCGGATACTCGTATGATTTTACCTGCTAACCCGCTTCGCAGTGCTTGCACATAGTCTTGCTTAACTTTAGCTTATAGTTGAAGTCTGTTTATTGTTATTATTGTTGTTTCCGCTTCCCCTTCTATGTGTTTGTTCTTAATATAATATTATAAGACAATAAAACTGAAAGTGTTTTTAAAAACTGTGCGGGTGGTTTAATTTGACTAACACTTCACATGTAGCGCATTTTTTATCTGAATCACGTACGGTTCTCGTTGTGGTTGCGTGATCAAAAACAAAAAAGTTGTTTTGATTTTGTTCCGCTAAAACGCTAAAGTTGTACAAGTTTATTATAGAATCAATAAGATTGAATCTTTTAAGTTTAGTTCAAATTACTAATTACTTACTGGTGGTAGGACCTCTTGTGAGTTGTCTGCCTATTTCTGCGGTGAAGCAGTAATGCGTTTCGGTTTGAAGGGTGGGGCAGCCGTTCACGTCGTTGTATCTATACTGAGACCTTAGAACTCATATATCAAGGTGGGTGGCGGCATTTACCACTTAACACCGGGCGGGCCATGAGCTCGAACTCGAATTAGATCGATTATTAGCATAGATTATGTTCAGATACCTACGCTTAACATTTGGAGGTCCCTGTAGCAATGCGTGCCTAATGGAAAAGTTTTGCATGTATGCCTAACTTTTTGTCTATGACAGTTTAATGCGAAACCTATTGAGACTTTTTGGCGGCAACGTGATGAGGCAAGCTGTGTAAATTATTTAAATTTTTTAATATTATATTTCATCAGGTTTCACAGTGTAATACTGTGGTTTATCAATGATTATGTGGTTTATTAACTAATTAGCATATGTGAAAATACACCAATGTGATAAAATGTAACAAAGCCGGTGAATGCAGTTTCTCGGGTTCTTCCAAAAAGTTCACTGAAAAATTCTCAGTAAATACTTTTACTGAGATATTATTTCATTCCATCTCATCGCGTTTCATTTAATTTGATAAAAGTCTCAATTTCGCTACGTATAATTTCCTAACAGAATTTAAAAGAAATAAAACTTGGCTTAAAGGTATCGTTACCGGGCCATAGAATCTTAAAGAAAAACCTATTTGCTTAGAAATAAGAAAATCAATCCTCATATTAGCAAGTGTATTGTGATTAGAAATACGTGCTTCATAGACAACCCTTATGATATATAATTGTAATACACAGGGTAGGTCGTATTTTGAGACATCACAGGTAGCACCATTCCGTTTAAAAGGAGCGATGATCAGTTACAATAAAATTAAAATTTAGACCTTATTTATCATGATGCCATGACAGCGCGTAATATCTATAGGATCCTTTAACGTATTCTATTTAGAGCAATAAAAAAGTTAGAGCTTTTTTTTTTTTTGTTACGAATGCTATCTCTTATTTTACATTTAGAGTTCACCGGCCCATTAGCTCAGTTGGTTAGAGCGTCGTGCTAATAACGCGAAGGTCGCGGGTTCGATCCCCTCATGGGCCACATTTCGTTTTGCAATTTATTTTTCACATTAACTAAAAATTATCACGAAAACTAATAACGTCATAAATAACTACTCTATTCATTATCTATTTATTTTGGAACAAAGTCAAAGTTGTATGAATATAGATGATGACTGACATCTCCGAAAGTTGAGGTACAAAACCGAATCGTATTTTAAAATACATATAGAATTGCCTGTATTGCCACAACAATGTGCAGACGATGGCACTATAGGCTTCTCTAAAAATATACTATTGGCAAAATTAACGTACGTGTAAAGATATTTGGTATTGCACAAACGGATAAAACATATTTAAATACCACTTTAAGGCAAAAAACCACCCACTGAGTTTCTCGCCGGATCTTCTCAGTGGGTCGCGTTTCCGATCCGGTGGTAGATTCTGCGAAGCACTGCTCTTGCTAGGGCTGGTGTTAGCAACACCTCCGGCTTGAGGCCCGAGAGCTCACCTACACGCTAGGGTAACGCTGATATACCCTCTCAAGGCTATCAACTTAGGTAGAAAAAAAAAACCTAAGACTCAATGGTATAGCATGACGGATATTCGACAATTCAAAACAGAATTAATGACTACGTCGTGACAGGAATAGGTTGGATCGTGACACACACTAATACGGATTCACAAAACTAGTACCAGTAATTATGAAAAATATACTTTTTGCGTCTTTTTTTCTTTTTTCACAAGAATTAGAAGTAATTTGTTAATGTCTCTCCAGTACATATTTCATTAGAAAAATTGGTAACTTGTCTGCGGGATTCGAACACCGATGCATCGCGTGATACGACTGCACCTTTGGCATCTTATCGTATAGAGCACGACGACTACGAAATATCAGATTTATCCACAAGTTGCTCGTGTCTTGTGACTATGTGAGAACTGCTTAAATACGCAGTTTGGAGTTATCAGCAATCCGGTTAGTTCCGGCGTTATCTGAGGTCGTGTCTTCTGCTCCTCGCCCCCCCGCAACTCTAACACTAAAGCGTAAACGATAACGTAATGCATAAATATGTGTAGTGAGTAAAGTTTTGCATCGATTACTTATCAATTATTATTATTTTCCTACCTATGCTGATAGCCTTGAGAGGCTATTTCAGCTTCACCCTAACATGTAGGTGACTAACATGTAACTATGCTCACGGGGCTCAAACCGGAGTGTCGTTAATACTGGCCCTAGCAAGAGCAGTACTTCGCAGAATCTACCACCGAATCGGAAACGCGACCCACTGAGAAGATCCGGCGAGAAACTCAGTGGGCCTGTTTGTGGGTTAATTCGCTCATCGAGCCCTCCGTCGCAAGCGACGTGTTCGACGAGGACGGTGACCGGTGCTTGAGGTACCTAAAAGCACCGTTAGAAGATCGGGAGGATCCGAAATGACGTGTGGGGCTTGTCAAGCAAATCGAATGAATGAAGGTCGTTCTCGTCGAACCCGTCGACTATTGTGTTATTAGATTAATTGCAATCCATTACTACTTTGCATTAGATCGCTTTTCGCGTGAAAATCAGCAATGATACTCATGATTATTAAAATGTTAATACATTACTTTGTTAAGTA